TTTATATTTAAATTGACACTGTAATTGTATATTTAAATTAATAATTTAAGTATTTTTTACGAACCGTTCAAAAGTTGTAGCTTTAAAATGATAATTGTTTACATACAATAACAATTTAAATCTAATAAATTAAGTATAATATGCTAAAAGTTAAAGACATAACTTTATAAGTAGGAGTCAATATATTATTTTTAAATTAAACTTTAGTTTATTTATGATTACAATTTTACTTTGATATTTATTTAACCTTATTAACCAACTTATAATCAATATATGAAAAACACTACAATTTATCACTTTTAACTATTTATAAAATATTTTCTGGGTTGTTTAAGTTAAACTAAATTTATTAAGTTTACCCTGTAATGTTATATTTAAATTAATAATTTATATATTTTATACAAATTTTGTTCCAAAGTTGTATTTTTTTAGATAATAATGGTTTACATACAACAATATATTAAAACTAATAAATTAAGTATAATATGTTAAAAGTTAAAAAAACATAACTTTATATGTAGAAGTAAAGATATTATTTTAATATTAAAATTTATTTTATATATGATTACACTTTACGTTTGATATTTATTTAACAATAATAACTAATTTATAATTATTATTAGAAAGAAATTGAAAAGTCATTAGAGTTTCAAATGAATGTGGTGAAAAGAAAATTTCATTAGAGTTTCAAATATACTTGAAATTTTTACAAATATATGTTTTTTTAATATAATAATAATGTTGTTGTTAAATTTGATATAATAATTTGTATACTAAATTGATATAATATTTTGATTATTTTGAATTATATGATAATATATACATCTATTATAACTGCATAATCTCAACCGTTTGAATAACTTCTACTCGCGAGTTATTAATGAATAAAGTTAACTATTATATATGGTTTAATGTTATTTATAGTTGTTATTATTGTTAATTAATTTTTTAATGTTTAATTTCTATCAGTATATTTATTTAAAATATCAAACATTATTTTTTATTTTAAAGGTAACAATATAATCATTTATATAGAGTTATTTTTTTAGTATTGTTATTGTAAGTTATTTTAAGGTACTTATTCGAAAACTTTTAACGTTTATAAAAATATCTTTAGGAAATATTTTTGTTAAAGTGAGATTATAATTTAGTTTTTGCATTTAGCACTAGAATTTATCATTTTTAACTATTCACAAAATATTTATTGGGTTTTTTAAGTAGAACTTAAATTTATATTTAAGTTGACATTGTATTGTTATAATTAAATTAACAATTTAAGTATTTTTTTTTTCCAAACTGTTCAAAAGTTGTAGCTTTAAACTGATAATGGTTTGCATACAACAACATTTTAAATCTAATAAACTAAGTATAACATGTTAAGAGTTAAATATATAACTTTATAAGTAGGAGTAAAGATGTTATTTTCAAATTGAAATTTAGTTTATTTATGATTACACTTTTAGTTTGATATTTATTTAATCTTATTAACGAACTTAAAATCATTATCAGAAAGACACTACTATTTATCACTTTTAACTATTTATAAAATATTTTTTCAGTTGTTTTAAATTTCAATAAAATTTATATTTAAGTTGACCTTGCAATGTTATATTTAAATTAATAATTTAAGTATTTTATACAAATTGTTCCAAAATTGTTTTTTTAGAAAGATAATGGTTTACATCCAACAATATATTAAAACTAATATGTTAAATATAATATATTAAAAGTTAAAAAAACATAACTTTATAAGTAGAAGTAAATATATTATTTTAATACTGAAATTTAGTTTATATATGATTAAACTTTAGGTTTGATGTTTATTTAACAATATTAACTAATTTATAATTAATAGTATATAGAAATTGAAAATTCATGGGAGTTTCAAATTAATGTGGTGAAAGGAAAAATGAATGAGAGTTTTATATTAATGTGCTTAAAGGAAAAATGTTTCCTTTATAAGTATACAACGCGGATGCCCGCGCGTTGCGTAGAAACACCTATATAGTTGAAGTCTTTACAAATATATGTTTTTTGTAATATAACAATAACGTTGTTGTAAAATTTAATATAATATTTTTTATACTAAAATGATATAATATATCGATTATTTTGAATTATATGAGAATATATACATCTATTATAACTTCTTAATCTTAATCATTTGAATGACTTCTATCCGCAAGTTAGACATGAATAAAATTAATATAATGTACAGTTTAATAGTTAGACATGAATAAAATTAATATAATATACAGTTTAATGTTATTTATAGTTTTGTTATTGTTAATTAATTTTCTTCAATTTATTAGCTTAATGTTTTAATATCTATCATTATAATTATTTAAAATATTAAACATTATTTTTTTATTTTAAAGGTAACAATATAATCATTTATATAGAGTTATTTTTAACTATTGTTATTTTAAATTATTTTAAAATAGGGTAAATTACACCGTTGGTCCCTCGTGCACATGCCAGAAAGCATGTGTAGTCCCTATTTCCAAAATTTAACTCATGCAGTCCCTCGTTGTTATTTATCTTGCATGGTTAGTCCCTATGCACGTTAACTGTTAAATCCTTCCGTTTAAGCTACCCACATGCCTTGCACGCAGGGGCATTTTCGTCTTTTTAGGGTTTGTGTCCATATTTAATGCCGTTACACCTTAAATCTTATAAAGAACATTGCAACCCTCTTTTCCTCTGCTATCCTCTCGTTCGTCTCTTCCCCTCGTTCGATCGATTTCTTCCAAATACATAACAATGATCGATATTAAATGCAATTGTGGAGCCACTGCAGTGATTCGCACATCTTATAGCAAAACAAAACCCTGGGAAACTCTATTATGCATTGTACAGTAAAGGTAAGGTTAATGATTTCAATTTCGTTCTTCGTCTTCTCTAATTTTGCCCTAATTCTTCATCTACTTTAATTGGTTCAGGGACCATTATGCAAGTTCATAGGATGGGTGAATGATTATGATCAGGACTGTGATTGTATGGCGTTTAGGATGAAACTTGAAGAACAAAATTGCAAATTTAAGCTTTACCTAGTTATTAGCTGGATTTTTTTTGTTTCAGTCCTTATATATAAAGTGTAGGTTTAGTAATGAAGTTGTTAGTATTTTGGTATGTGTATTTTGTAATGTTATTTGTATTAACAAAAAATTTTCAATTTTAGTTACAATATATTGTGTAATCATAATGTGGTGTTATCAGTTGGTGTTCAAATTTAATGAAAATGTGGTATTTGCAACATATGCAATATACCATTCAATACATGTAGCATCCAATATAACAATTAAAAAGGACAAAAACTAAAATATCCAAGATAACCATTGACCATTAACATAAAGGGACATCCAAAATAACAACATAGTGTTATGGCATACAAATAGTTATCCTAGACAGCAACAAAGTATCAAAATACAAAACATAACAACAAAGTAATATGGCAATAAATGCCTAACAAAAACATAGTTATCCTTCATGATCATGATACCAAACTACAAATTCTCAAAGCATGGGGCTTTTTCCTTTGTTCCCAACTCCATTTTGTACACCACCACTGCTACCTGCTGCACCTTCTCCTGTTGTATTCCCTGCTGCACCTTCTCCTGTTCCATTCCCAGTCTGTGATTGTCCCTTGCAGGTCCTTCCATTATGGCCCACATTTCCACATTTTGTGCATGTTACAAATTTCCATTTTGCGGACACTCCATCATCTTCTGTTGTAGATCTTCTTCTCTTTTTTTTTGGTCTGCCAATAGGGACACGATACTTTAGTGGTATCAACTTGGTAGGACATGTGCTTTTTTCCCACAATAACCTCCCATTAATAGGTTCAACTTTGAAGACATACATTTCTTTCCAAGTCTTGAGCCAATAAGTTGGGTGTACCCATGTCTCAGGTATTCCAACATTTTCATTGTTGAGCCTCATATCCCATATAGCTGCTATACTATGTTTGCAGGGTATGCCTGTCAGTTCCCACCTATTACATGAACAATTTTGTTGGTCCATATTAACCACATACTGATTAGTACCTTCACTTGTAACCTGGTACTTCCCATTGCCACAGAACATTGCCCTACACTGTACTGCCCTTTCTTTAATTTTTTCAAGGGTCTTAGTGGCTGTAGGAGTTAATGGGCCATTAGCTTTATCAATTTCTTTTTGAACCATGACAATTTTCCTCATGATATACTCCCTAATAAACTCCAAGCAACTGATAAATGGCTTATCACGACCCTTCACTATCTTGCTATTCAAACTCTCACACATATTATTCAACAAAGCATCACAATGTGCCCTCCCTAATAAAACACAACTGTATTAGATTATATTTAAAAATTATACACTTATAAACATAATATTATAGACCTGAGAAGTGGGATCTGGACCAGTGCTTAGGTGGAATAGAATTAAGCCAGTCATATGCTTCACTGTTAAGTTTCTTTAGTTCTTCCATGGCACTGTTGAATTGTGGTATGGTGGTACATGTTGCACATTTCCAAAGACAATCCTTGAATTCCTTGCCCCTCCATTTACGTTTCATGTTCTCATGAAGATGCCTTAGGCAATATCTATGCTCTGCTGCTGGGAAAAGTTTCTCAAGTGCAGGCAATAACCCCTAAATCATCAAAAGAGTGAAGTTGCTTATTGAATTGTAAAACATGCATGTGAAAATGAATGGAGAACTTTATTTACCTTTTGTCTATCTGATATGAAAGTGAAGTTGGAGTTTGCATACAAACCAAGATCATCTCCTAAGTTAGTTAAAAACCAGGTCCATGAATTAAAGTTCTCTGCTTCAACAACTGCATATGCCAAAGGGTATGTGCAATTGTTCCCATCTAAACCCTGAATTATCATGTCAAACACAGTAATAAGCAAACAATTAACTATGGTCAAACATTAATCAAATACTAAAATATGATTATGCACATACCACTGCTGTCAGGATCATACCATGGTATGGACCCTTCATGAATGCACCATCAAGCCCTAGTAAATCTCTTTTCCCTGCTGCAAATCCACTTTTCAGTGGACCAAGAAAATGTATACTCGTTCAAATACCCTGGTCTCAGATGCATAACATGGTTCACTTTGCACTTGAAGTTTGACTGTGTGTTTGGATTTCTACTCTGCACCTCCTGTAAGTAGTCTCTTAGACATGAGTACTGAGCAGCAAAATCTCCCCTAATTGATTCCAGGGCTTTCGTTTTCGCCCTATGAACTTTCATGTCTGACAATCCAAGTTGGTATTTCTTCTCAAGCATCTCACGTAATGCTCTAAGTGGTATTTCTGGGTTTGCCTCCACTGTGTCAACAATCTGTTCAGAGAGAAACTTGTAGTTACATGCCCTAATTTTCCTTGTTTGAAGGCACGTATGTTGCTTTTCATAGGTCTTAACAGTCCAGTTAATGTTTTTTTTCCACTTACTCACTAGTAGGACCCATGGGCATTTATGAATAGAACCATCTTTCACTTTCTTTTTCTTTTGACTTGGTCCCACTTTGTCATTACTTTTGCTGGTCCCACCTGTTTCTAATATCCCAAGGTTTGGTATTGTCCCTTTGCAAACCACTCTAATCCTATTTTTGTCATTCTTGACGAAGTAACTCCCTTCTACTCTGTATGGAATGAAGATAAATTTGTTGTTTAACTTCCTTGGCTGTGCTAAAAGTCTGGTGGATGTAAAATGTGCTCTTCGTAAATCTCTTATCTTCTTCCTTTTTTTACTAGCTTCACCCTCATCTGATGAAGATGCAGATACAAATTCTTCAGTGTTTATAACCTCTAATTCTTCATCACCTTCTACTGCTTCATCTCGATCATCAGGAAAACTTCCAACCCACTCCACCTCTTTGTCAATGTTGAGGTGAAAGTTCTTCATATCAACCTCTGGATCATCTAACAAATTATCTTCATCAACTATGTAATCACTATCTTGACTGTATTCACTATCTTTAGTGTCATCACTATCATGACTGTCTTTACTAGCTTGACTGTCTTCACCTGCTTTTTCACTATTTGGTTCATCTTGTTCCATAGGAGTCCCACCAAAAGGTTCACACCATTTAAATGTATCATCCCAACCATCAACATTAGGACATGTGCTTCCTATCATTGGTTCAGTCAAAGGGCTTTCAATTCTTGGTATATAGGCACGGGTTGACTCAACTGTTTCACTCAATGTAACAAGGGGTTGTTCCAAGGTTGTTTCAAGTAATGTACTAGGGGGTTCGTCCATAGTTTCTACATTCTCAAAAATAGGGGCTTCTTCACTAGGACAATCCCCTGAATTTGACCATGTCAATAACAAGCTTTTATGACAAAGGGACTCAGGAATTTCGTGTATCTTTATCTTTGCAGGGTTTGGGGACATTTGATACGTATGCGGCTTGGTTTCCCAAAACTCTGTATACACTTCTATCACCTTGTGTTCATACACGTATGACCTAAAGTGGTTTATATCTTCGTCACAACCCAAAGCATACAACCCAAAATCTAAATCCCAAGTTGGTCGTTTGAAATGATAATAAATACTTTTACCTGGTTCCACACAATCAAGCAATTCCATTATCTCGTCCATATCATGCACCGAGAACAAGTCACTATCAATGCCATCAATATATTTCATCTTCCCCTTTATGTATTTGCGGCCTGGAAACTTCGTAAAAACTCCACCATTGTTCAATCGTATCGAGAACATACATGGATTGTCAGCTGCGAACCCAAAAAAAAATTACGTTTTAGGAACGTATAATGGATGATCAACTGAAAATGTAGAAAATTTTACTGTATGAGCTTTGGAGATTGTATTCCTCCCATTCTTGCCTAATCCTCCAGTTCACCATCGTAGAAAACTAGGGTTTTCTCGTGCAATGCTAAGGGTCGACGGAGGATGAAATGAGAAATGATCAGTTATCGAAGTCGCGCCATACTGGTTCATGTATACAAACCCTGAAAAGACGAAAATGCCCCTGCGTGCAAGGCACGTGGGTAGCTTAAACGGAAGAATTTAACAGTTAATGTGCATAGGGACTAATCGTGCAAGATAAATAACAACGAGGGACTGCACGAGTTGAATTTTGGAAATAGGGACTAAACATGCTTTCTGGCATGTGCACGAGGGACCAACGGTGTAATTTACCCTTTAAAATACTTATCTAGAAACTTTTAACGATTATAAAAATATCATTAGAAAATATTTCTGTTAAATTGAGATTATAATTTAGTTTTCGTATTTATCACTATAATTTATTACTTTTAACTATTTTCAAAATATTTTGTGGTTTTTTAAGTGGAACTGAAATTTATATTTATGTTGACATTGCAATGCGCAGAAACACCTATATAGTTGAAGTCTTTACAAATATATGTTTTTTTAATATAACAATAACGTTATTATTAAATTTGATATAATAATTCGGACACTAAATTGATATAATATATTGATTATTTTGAATTTTATGATAATATATACATTTATTGTAATTTCATAATATCAATCATTTGAATGACTTCTACCTGTGATTTACAAATGAATAAAATTAAATATAATATATGGTTTAATGTTATTGATAGTTGTTGCTATTTTTAACTATTTTTTTAAAATTTATTTGCTTAATGTTTTGATTTCTATCATTATAATTATTTAAAACATCAAACATTATTTTTTTGATTTTAAAGATAACAATATAATGATTTATATAAAGTTAATTTTAACTATTGTTATTGTAAGTTTTTTTAAGCTACTTATTTGAAAACTTTTAGCGATTATAAAAATATATTTTGAAAATATTTTAGTTAAATTGAGATTACAATTTAATTTTTGCATTTATCACTACAATTTATCACATTTAACTATTTACAAAATACTTTTTAGTTTTTTAAATGGAACTGAAATTTATATTTAAATTGACATTGTAATGTTATATTTAAGTTCACAATTTAAGTATTTTGTCCAAACTGTTCAAAAGTTGTAGCTATAAACTGAAAATGATTTACATATAACAACATATTAAATCTAATAAATCAAGTATAATATGTTAAAAATTAAAGACCTTACTTTATAAGCAGAAGTAAATACATTAATTTAATACTGAAATTTAGTTTATATATGATTACACTTTAGGTTTGATATTTATTTAACCTAATTATCCAAATTATAATTATTATTAGAAATAAATTGAAAAGTCATGGGAGTTTCAAATGAATGTGGTGAAAGGAATTTTTTTTCCTTTATAAGTATATAATGATTAGACGAATACATGCGCGTTGCACAAACTAAAATAATATATTTTAAATATTTACAAATATATCTTTTTAAATATATCAATGACGTTGTTAGCTCTTATATAATAAATCTTATAATAATTTGGTATAAACATTATTTATTTTTAAATATATGATAATGTAAACATCTTTTAAGAAATTATAATCTCAACTGTCTCAATGGTCTTTATGTGGAGGTTACTTATGAATAAAACTAAAAATAAATATAGTTTAATGATATTCATAGTTGTTGTTATGATTCTTTGATTTTAAAAAGTTTATTTGCTTAAGATTTTAATTTATATCATTGTAATTATTTAAAACATTAAACATTGTTTTTGTTTTTAAAGGTAACAATATAAAATTTTTAATACACTATTTATAAAATCGTCTATCCAAAGTTAACCATTTAACATTATATTAAAATGAATAGTTTAACTATATTGCATAAAATCATTAATTACAAAAAAGGTTTTGACTTTAAAAGGATAATTGTTCACATAAGACAACATATTTAAACTAATAAATTAACTATAATATGTTAAAAAGATAAAGTCATAGTTTTGTAAATAAAAGTAAAAAATGATATTTTAATATTGTAGTTTTGTTAATTTATAATTAGAATTTAGTTTTTACATTAATTTAACATTGTTAAACAATTTATAATATTTATTAGAAAGAAATTAAAAAGTCATGGAGGTTTTCGTATACTAAATTGATATAATATATTGATTAATATATACATCTATTATAACTGCATAATCTCAATCGTTTGAATGACTTCTACCGCGAGTTACACATGAATAAAATTAAATATAATATATCGTTTAACATTATTTGTAGTTATTGTTATTGTTAATTATTATTTATAATTTATTTGCTTCATGTTTTAATTTGTTTCATTATAATTATTTAGAAAAATCAAACATTATTTTTTGATTTTAAAGGTAACAATATGATTATTTATATAGAGTTATTTTTAATTATTATTAGTGTAAGTTATTTTAAACTACGTATTTGAAAACTTTTAACGATTATAAAAATATCTTTAGGAAATATTTTAATTAAATTGATATTACAATTTAGTTTTTTTATTTATGACTACAATTTATCACTTTTAACTATTTACAAAATATTCTTTGGTTTTCTAAGGGGAACTGAAATTTATATTTAAGTTGACATTGTAATGTTATATTTATGTTAACAATTTAAGTATTTTGTCCAAACTGTTCAAAAGTTGTTGCTTTAAACTGGTCATGGTTACATATAACAACATATTAAATCTAATAAATTAAGTATAATATGTTAAGAGTTAAAGACATAACTTTATAATTAGAAGTAAAGATATTATTTTAAAATTAAATTTAGTTTATTTATTATTGCACTTTAGGTTTGATATTTATTTAACCTGATTAACCAAATTATAATTATTATTAGAAAGACGCTACAATTTATCACTTTTAGCTATTTACAAAATATTGTTTGGGTTTTTTTTAAGTAAAACTAAAATTTATATTTAGTTGACCCTGTAATATTATATTTAAATTAATGATTTAAGTATTTTATACAATGCTACAAAATATCACAACTAGCAATTTTGGTTCATGATTGTATGCATGCACCGACACTCTTTTCATATAACATAATTGAAATAGACTATGTTAAGTCAAAGATGAACATATTTTGGATGCACCATAAGCAAAACATGTGAGATATTGTAGCAACACAAATTTAAATGCCAAGAGGTACCAAAAGTTACCAAAACATAAACTCTTTACTACATTACTTGAGGCAAACCTGTCACATCAAGTATGGTTATAACGACTCACATAGAGACTAACAGCACAATAAACTTACAGAATACACATACTAGACTTCTGATACATTGTACGAACTAAACATTTATTATATTACTTGAGTCTTTTGGTTTTTAAGACTACAACGCATTTATTAACAGAAAACATCGGATTTTCTGGAAACTACATACATTTACAGCTTACAAACATCAGAAAATATTGGATTTTCTAAAACTCTCTCTTTTTATACATTTTCAAAAACAAGACACACATGCTATAGTACAAGATTTGAAACAAAACTTACAAACCATTTTTACAGAAAATATCGGATTTTATGGTGTTTAAAAGTAATACAAAGTTTTCATACAAGCATGCTTATGAACTCACCAACATTTTATATGTTGATTCTTTTCAAAAATGCTTCTATTCTTAGGAACTCAGTAAGCGGTTATAAGAGCCTCAGATACTGGATATTTTGCTGCGTTTTGGGAATTACTTACTTATGTCACTTTTGTTGTAATATTCGAACATATACACTTTGTAAAACGATATAAGTTTGATATCTTAATGTATGATGTGTGGATTGTTATGTTTCATTTATATAAAATCGTGACAATACTATACAATGACGTCACCCGCCTCCGGATGTTTCCGCCGTCCCGGTCTGGGGTGTAACTCAAAGTTATATCTTTAAATTGATAATGATTTACATCCAACAATATATGAAAACTAATAAATTAAGTATTATATGTTAAAAGTTAAAAATATAACTTTATAAGTAGAAGTAAAAATATAATATTGAAATTTAGTTTATATATGATTATACTTTAGGTTTGATATTTATTTAACCTAACTAACTAAAATATAATTATTATTAGAAAAAAATTGAAAAGTCATGGGAGTTTCAAATGAAAGTGGTGAAAGGAAAATGCATAGAAATTTCAAATGAATGTGATAAAAGGAAAAATACTTCATTTATAAGTATAATAGGTGAATGCCTGTGTGTTACGCAAAAAGACCTACATAATCGAAATCTTTATAAATATATCTTTTTTAATATAATAATAATGTTGTTGTTAAATTTGATATAATAATTCGTATACTAAATTGATATAATATACTGATTATTTTGAATTGTATGATAATATATACATCTATTATAACTGCATAATCTCAGTCGTTTGAATGACTTCTACCCATGAGTTACTCATGAATAAAATTAAATATAATATATAGTTTAGTGATATTTTTAGTTGCTGTTATTGTCAATTAATTTTTTTAAATTTATTTGTTTAACATTTTTATTTCTACCATTATAATTATTTAAAACATCAAACATTGTTTTTCGATTTTAAAGGTAACAATATAATCATTTATATAGAGTTATTTTTTAACTATTGATATTTAAGTTATTTTAAGTTGCTTATATAAAAACTTTTAACGATTATAAAGTATATTTAGAAAATATTTTATTTAAATTGAGATTACAATTTAGTATTTGCATTTAGCACTACAATTTATTACTTTTAACTATTCACAAAATACCCATTGGGTTTTTTTAAGCAAAACTGAATTTTATATTTAAGTTGACACTATAATATTATATTTAGATTAACAATTTAAGTATTTTGTCTAAATTGTTCAAAAGTTTATAGTTTTAAACTGATAATTGTTTACATACAACAACATATTAAATCTAATAAATTAAGTATAATATGTTAAACATTAAGGTCATAACTTTATTAATAGAAGTAAAAATATTATTTTAATATTAAAATTTAGTT